TTTGAAACCAATGCATACTTCTTCTCTTGGCCAGTGATCTCTTCATCACAATGTAACTATAAATCCTCCTGGAGATGGACAGAGACGGCCTCCAGCATCTTTGAAACCAGTCCTCATTCAATGGTTTCAGGATCCTGAAAGGTAACAACTGAACCAAGATGTTTGAAAACCCAGGACCAAAACCTGTGCGTGTGTGTGAGGGGGCAGCCTCTGGAGGCCACAGTTCTTATGATACCACCAGTTAGGGCTGATTATCAGCAATGGCCAGGAAACAAGGCTAGGAGGTTCTTATATAACTCCAGGGTGGAGCCAGCGGGCTTTCTTGCACTGGTCCACCACAACCATTCTCCAGGCCCTCCCCTGCCTGCTGCCACAGTATGAACAGGAGAAATGACATGTAAAGGTACATGCAGAATTCAATGATTGAAAAGGTATAGGATCTTTAGGTCAATGTCTGAGGTGTCCTACAACATCTCACAGGTTTGCCTGAAGCCAAAGAGCACCTCTGCAAAACTCTATAAACTCATAAAACTACTCTTACATGCAGTGCCTCTGTCCTGTGAGTAAACTGCCAGGTGTGTGCGTGTATGGCATGGAACTGGTTATTGCATCACAGGACGTGATTCAGATGTAGCTGTGGTTTTTGTAGATCTAGTGTCATTTGCCATGCTTGTGTGAGTGTGTGTTCATACGTTTGTATGTATATATAGGTTGTGTGTATGTGTGACAGAGAGAGAATAAGAGAAAACAGAGGGATGAGGTATTAGATGAAGAGAGGTGTGAATAAGCTGCAAAGGTTGGGTCCATCTGAGCTTAACCTAAAAGCTCAGTGCTCCATATTGGGCAGTGCTGCCCTCTTATGTATATATATATTTAGACAACAGAGCTTGACCGCATAATGTAGGTCACATAACACAGGAGCAAAATAAGGAACAAAAGAAAAGTAATGATGAAGTTTATACAACTGACCCCATTATGAAAATATGATTTCTAGGAATTAGATTCCATAGATAAATGTAGGTAATAGGATGTACACATACAAACATTTATATTTCAGTATATATAAATATTACAATAATAACTTTTTGTCTCTCTCACTCTTCCTGATGCTGTAAGTATTCTCAGTCCAGCACTTGCCAGAGCACTGCAGCTTCCTCTTCCAGCTGTCTTGCAATCCCCTTAATCCCTTTGCATCAGGGTAACCTTTCTGGTGAGCTGCCTCACCCCCCACCCCTGCCATACAACCCACCTCCCTCACCATACAACCTGCTTCCCCCACTGCAGGGCTGGCCTCCCTCACTAGCTGGCCTGTCTCCCTCACCCCAGGTCTGAACCCAGAAATCCTGTATCAGCGGAGTGCTTAAGAAACGGAATAAAAAGAGTTAGCTTAGCATGTATTGACTAATATTTTTATTTCTTGTGTCTTCAGTTGGAGGGTTTTATATAGCGCACAGTTTAACAAAGAACAGTGTAGTGCTTGGATGGACCTAATAGTCAATCCAGGATGGCTCTGCTACATCTCTGCAGCGCTGACATCAGTTATGCTTTTATTCTATCCCCTCCTGTGGCCAATTTAAGTATTGCAATTGTGAACTTATTCATGAAAGAGTGGCTTTGGAAACAACACTCTTTGTATGAAATCGTTTGAAATGGTTTTGGTTTACCGAGGAAAATGAGTTGTTTCACAAATACACATAATGACCTGAACAGCAAAACTAAACTAATATAACTTTCATATTTTTTTTAAACCAAATGTCAGGGAAGCTGTGTGTCATGGGCATGGCCATGATGATGATGAACTTCTATGTTCCTGGAAAAGTGTGCAATTGAAACTTTATTGTGTGTAAAGTTATTGTTATTTTTTACGTACATATTTATGTATTTATTTAATTTTACCAAATATAGTCACTGGAAATTTGATTGTACTGGAAAATTGACTGTAGCCAGCTAAAACATACAGTATAGATCTTGGTTAGGCAAACTGTCCAGGTCAAAGATTAAGATCACAGAAGCCTCTGTTTTTGAACTGACAACCTCTTATTTTAACAAATGTCAACAGAATTTTGATGAAACTGCACAAAAAATATATTTCCACAGATACTATATATACTGACCAGATATCCAGCTTCTGTGTATCTTCTCTCTACCATTCCTACTTGTTTAGGGGGTTGTGTTGGTAACTGGAATCTCCAGTGTTGTCTGCAGGTTGGTCTATCTACATTCACAATCTATAACAAAACACACAGGATTTTCAGCATTTAAAGCTGAATATGTCGCCATTACATAGAATATCTTTTTTGTCCCCCTCCAGTTCCTCAGACAGTTTGGTCTTCAAGTCACAGACTATTAATAAGTTTTCAGATTTTTTTTTTTTTCTAAATTGACCACTTATCACTTGATTTTGCATACAAAAATTCTCATTTTATTTTCTCCAGTATTTGCATATGGAATAAGCTTCTTTGTCACTGTGCAAAAGCAAAATTAAAACCGTTAGAAATGCATAGCACAGCAGGAGAAATCACTTCAGAAGTCACCCAGATGCAATTCATCTCTTCTGCTAAACCAGCGTTAGAATTTGTATGTCCTATTTGCCCATTGGTCAGATATCCTATGATCTGGAACGGGAACATCTTCATTTCTTTCCAGTCATTCATTTTAGTAACTGACGTCTGTAATTTTGGGTGAGGCTTCACTGTAGTCTAAACCAGCTCATTCGTAGTGCAGTATGGCTGTCGATATGAATATGCTTTATGGGTGTTACGCGCACCAAACAGGTAGATGGCGATATAATATTGAATAATAAGAATAATGTTGCAGAAAGGCTCTCTGTAAGGCAATTCTCTTTGTTTGTTGCAAGGCGACCGACTGCGTGAAGGCAGCGGCGCAACCCCTGGGACACCATTTTGAATGTGAGTAGCTGTAAACTTCTCTGTTCCACTTCTGATGTTGTCAAAGACAAATATGCCGTTGACTTACAGTATCTTAATCAAATAAAGACTACTATCAAGCTGGATAACCACCTCTCTTAAATACATAATATTATCTCACCGTCTAGAAACATGGCGAAGATAAGGGACTACCTGAGTATTGCGTATAATAGCTTGTTTTTATAGTTAGCTAGCTAGCTCGTTGACAGCCAACAACAGGCTAGCTGGTTCCTCTTGATGTTGTCAGACAATTGACAGTTTCGTTTGGCCAGCAGGCAGACACGTTCTTTCCCATAAAGAGGTCAAGCATGCACACCCTGCTTTTGCGTATTCGCCAGCAGTTAAATTCGCTAAACTTAGTTACCTGGTCCTAGCTAGCTGGGTAGTCACTATGCAAGCTAAGGTGAGTTCTTCCTAATCAACATTCATGTGAGTGAATTTTGTATGCAGTTTGCCACTTGGATAGATGCATGTTAATATTCTCTCGGATTTAGATGGTTGATACTACATTGACACCCTGTACACAAGTAAATGGACTGTTGTGATTAGTACTTTGATTTAACGTAACGTTACTTATTTACTGTCTCTTGCTAATTGGCATCAATATTTTACGTTACTCTGTATATCCGGCTGTCTAACGGGAATGTCTTTACGGTTGAAATGAAATAATTTCGCTTGCTAGCTTACCTTATCACACAGACTTTGACATGGACAGCTTGCTAGCCTACACATCAGGTGCCTGTCATTTGGTAATGGTAATCGATTGAAGTTTCACCAACAGGGCATATGGAGAGCAACTATCCAGTCATAACTAACGTCTTTGACACGGATTGGTGCAACCACCTGTGGGTAGACGCAAACCCGGCGTCTGCTCCTGACAAAGGTGAAGACATGGAGTCTCAACATGCGAAACTTCATCAGGGAGGCTCTGACCCTGGATATGTCAGCTTTAAAAACGAGGTAAAGCCACACTTTAATTCGCGTAAACATTGTAAATATATCACATGGTAATGTTTTCCAGGTAGCGGATGTTTAATAAGGTGTAAATTCTTTTTTTTTGTTTTGTTTTTTTACACACAGTCCCTGGATGAAATGATAGTTGGCCATATGCTCAGTGGCTGGAAAAAAGATGGCAATCAATAAAAACACGGAGGAGGTCGCACACCTCCTTGGTCTAAGTGACCGTCCTCGCGTTTTCAGGAAAAGCTTCAAATTGCTGAACTTCAACGTATTTGCTGGAGCTCAAAGGTTCACCAGGAAAACCGCAGTGCTCCCTTGACAAGTTTCTCGGCACAATAAATGACTTGTTTTGACTTGCACTTTGTAATGAAACAAATGAAACATCATTAGTCTAAATTGTAATTTCGATCAGTGTCAGACAGTTATGGCCATCCAGATATCGCGCGCTGGGCTTCTCTGCTTCTCGGGAGATTTCCTCATTTCTGCTTCCTTTAAGAGGCTGTCGCGTGCCATATGCATTGGCTATGCGTTCATCTGTGTATTAATGTGTCCATTATTTATCAAAAGGGTTAACCTAGTAGATGCTTCCCATTTCCCGAGTTGAGTAGTCTTGTTTCCCTTAAACACTTACTGTACTTGATGACACATTACTTAACTTTTTCTTATACTTGTTGCATGGATAAGAAAATGGTGCTTGTTGAGGTGTCTTGAGATGTTAAGTTTTTAAACCTTATTACTAAGGCAAATGTTTTTCTTACAAAAGTAAATTACTTTTAATAAACAAGACAAGGTTATTCTAAGATTATGAAGATTATTATTCTTATAATAAATTACCTCCACCAATATTGCAAAAATTCAGTTCACTGATGGGCATTGAACTTTTTAACTTTTGCTTTATTTAGAACCTGATGCCTTGTAAGCATTTTCTCTCATGTTGACTGGTGTCTTAAGGCTGAGGTCTGTAAATTTATGCCGGTTACTGTAAAGGAGTGAGCACAAACAGCTGAGGTTGTGGCTCTGTGAAAGCTTTAAACAGCAATTTAAGCCATTACATTATTGTCATTTTTAGCAGACGCTCTTGTCCAGGTACCTAGCCTAAGGGTACAACAGCAGTGCCCCAGGAGGGAAGTGAACCAGCAACCTTTTGGTTATAAGCCCTACTCCTTACCACTCTGCTACACTGCCACCCGCTTTTTTTCCTTTAGAGAAATTTCTGCAGTTTAGCTTCCGTAATTCCTAATATTAAATGATTGCTGAAGTCTAAGTAGCGCATATTTTTGTTACTGCGTTTTGTGCAAGGTCTATTTGACTTGGAGTTGTCCTTCAAAAAATATCTTAACGTACACAGTACTCAAATACTTTTTGAATGTATGTAGTCTAATATGTAGTGTTCAGGATATTGTGTATTCTTGATATCAGTACGTATTTTCATAAGCTTTCTGTAAAACCCAGCCTAAGCCTATTCACAGACTACCACGTTGTTGTGTTGCAGCCAGAACACAGAGAGCTGCTGATGGAAGAAGTTCATGTTCCTTCAGAAATGCAGATTGTGGGGAACTCCAGTTCATATCCTCTTCAACAGGGTGGCTTGCAAAACAGTGGGAAAAGTAAGCGCGCACCGCAGGGCCTTTGCGTTATCCATTGTAAAATCCTACTTGCCTATTTGCATGCATTTTAAAAATAGCCTACCGCATAATTTGTATTCGCTCCACAGATGCCGTTAACCAGCGTGACTTGCAGGGATTACATTTTCACGCAAATTCAGGTACCCGTTTACATTCTTGCGCTACCTCTTTAACCTACGCTGTAAGTACTTTGCCTCAGTGGAAAAAAGGCAACAACATGGGTCTCTGCTCCCAACTGCGATTATACTGTTTGAATCCTCACCTCTTCCAGACAGCAGGAAGTCGCGCGCCCGCTTCACGCGGGAGGAAGAGAGGGCCCTCCTGGCGGGGGTGGTGGAGCGCTGGGACGAGCTGTACGGGTACCAGAGCCAGGCCCTCCCCCGCGGTGCCAAGACGCGCATCTGGAACGACATCGCCGCGCGGCTCTCCGGCTCCTCCCGGGAGGTGAGGGACGGCGAGGATGTGCGCAAGAAGTGGCTCTACACCAAGCTGACGCTCAGGAACCGGCTGCGGGCCGCCAGCCAGCTGGGCCTGGGCACGTACCCGCCCGACCTCAGCCCCCTGGAGCAGCGCGTGCTGGCGCTGATGGGGCACGACAGCGGCGGCAGCGTGGACGCGCCAGACGTCGGCTTCGGTAAGCGTGGAGGGGCGCAGATCCGTCCACCGGTCGGTATTCAGGGTTGTGTCAGTGTAGCGTAGCGGTAAGGAGCAGGACTCATAACCAAAAGGTAGCTAGTTTGATTTCCCGCTGGGGCACTGCTGTGTACCCTTGGGCAAGGTACTTAACCCAGAATTGCGTCAGTAAATATCAAGCTGTATAAAGTGGGTAACGTAAAAAACTGTAACCTATGTAAGTCGCTCTGGGGAAGAGCGACTGCTAAATGCAAATAATGTAATGTGTCAGTCCCCCTTGGCTCTTCATGTTCCTAACAATTCCATGTGTTCAGGAATTACTGAATTACTTTGGTGCCCTGCCTGTTTCCTAGGCCCGGTCTCGGGGGAGGATATCCGGCCCCTCACCCTGCAGGGAGCAGAGGACCTGGACACCGTCGGCTCCACCAGCGACACGGAGGTGGACGGAGGCCAGGATGAGCCGCAAGAGGAGTCCGCTCCTCCGACGTACAATACCGCTCCTGCTGGCCCTGCCTCCGTCCCCTCCCCCATCTCCACCACTCCCTCCACATCTGCCTCTACCTCCAGCTCCCAGCGCAAGAACGCCCGTCCAGAGGACCCCCTGGCTCCTGCCCTGGCGGCGATCAAGAACCGGCAGGACAGGTCCATCTCCCTGTACAAAGAAGCCATAGCGGTGTTGCGCTCGCTGGCCGCGGACGTGCGCAGGTACGTGGACTACATGCTCTCGGTGGGCGTGCCCGAGCCAGCACCCGAGTGCGCCTCGCAGAGGGAATCATCCTCCAAGCAGCCCAGCACGCTCACGACCACCACCTCTCAGCCAGCGGGATCCTCCAAGCCTCAGTCTCCATCCCCGTCGCCCAACCCGGCTCCTCCTGCGCCCCAAGTGCCGACACCAGTAGAACAGCCCCCTCTGCAGCCCCCACGCACCCGCCCCCACACCCCAGCACTCCCCCCTCACGGACTCTCCCACAGCATCCCAGCTCAGCCCCGCCCCTACCCTCTATCCCACCTCCATACCCACTAATGTGCTCTTATCACATCATGCCTCAGTTCCCCACCATGGCCTTCCCCACGTATTATTCAGGTCCACAGTCTTCTGTGCACCGGTTTTCCCACCAGTCCAACCTAACCGCCACACATCCACCCGCTCCTCCCGGCTACCAGTACGCGCCTGCGGTCACGCTGGTAGCCCCTCCCACTTTCTACCCTCCACCCTCTCCTTTCGCGGCCCACTCCGTCTTCCACGACCCGCCCCCTCCCTCGTTCTACCCCGCACCTCCCAGCGCTCCATCCGATCCGGCTCAGTCGTCTGCGAACTGCTCTCCGTTCCTCGGCTCCCACGGATCTCCACAGAACCTCAGTCCGTCTCCGATCTCCGGCTGTCATCCCTACCAGAAGGCAGTGTGGAGGGGGAGAGGCGGAGGCTTGGTGCGGAAGCGTTGGGGTCGAAGAGGGGGCTGCTCGTACCCCTCCGGCAGGAGCAGAGGGCTCTGCTGAAATGGACAGCGTTAGCCAAAGTGAATGTGGAAGGATGTCTCTGAAATCCATCATGCCGATATGACTGATATGCAACTGTATTTTTTTTTTTTTACTGTACATAACTCTTTTTTAACACAAAGATTATCATTTTGTGTATTTAAGACATTCTTCCCATTGGTGCTAATAAATGCATGACCTACAATTATCTGTCTTCCCTCATGTTAAATACATTTTATACAGTTAAATATTATTGCAGGTGTAGTCAACTGACACTTAGGTTAAACTAGAAGACTCACAGAAACCAGATCCTGAAGAGCTGGGTTTGACTGTTTGAGTTCTAAAATGTACACAAGTCCTCACCTGTAATCTAGGAAGGGTGGTGAATCTGAGTAATGCTACCATAGGACTGTAATAGTGAGAAAAGATTGTACTACAGTGCTCGCAATTACAGACTGGCATGTAAAGTGAACTTCCTTGTTCAATTCACCTGCAAGATGTTCCCTAATGGGAGCATACGAGTCTCAATTCTAAGTTTATTCCCATGGTAAATCCATGTAGGAATACTGAGAACATGATAGCTGCTGTACTAGTTTGACTCCTCATTTTAAGAAATATGCCATTTAAACAGCCTGACTGCTCCCTGTTGGTGGATGTAGGTTTATTACACTTAAGTATATTCATGACATATAAATACTGAGCAAAGTCATCACAAGAGTACAATCCACTTTGAAAACTTTTAGAAAGTAATGCAGTTAATGCTTGATGTTAATTATTCTGGAATGTCTCGGTAGATGCTTCGATCCAGCATGACTTGAAATTTTATACCACACTGATAAAGCTGGAAACAGGCGCTGTGTCATCTTCCTGTGATTTATTCCACACAATAATTAATACGCCCTGTTCCCAGAAAGCCCCATCAATTTCCAGGCCACAAGGTCACTAAACTACAAAGACTGCTGATTTTTCCCTCACTGTTCCACGTAACACCGTCAATCTGAAAGTTATAAAGACAAAAGGCCAAGGTACTTGTGCATTGACAATGCTGCAACTAATACTGTATACATGCCTATTTACTGGACTTGAATGCATGTGCACATGAAATGCAAATGTCCACATTTGTAATAGATTAGACATGTATACAAACTTCTCTAGATTAAAATTCTCACTCATATTTTACAGAGATGGGTGCCTGCCCACTCTCCAGGGACTGTATACCATTTGCTTAAAATAAGCCTCCCACTTTTTAAGTACCATATATTTTATGGACAGGGCTTTGTTCTGTGAGAGAAGTATCATAAGATGGATACACACTTTTGGAAAGGAATGGCAGTATCTTGAGTCTTCATACCTTCTTTGTTCTCTTCTCAAAGATTTGTCCCTAAGAAGTGGTTTTAAAGGGCTCAAAATAAACATTTTGCATTTTGGCTTTTTTCCTCTCACACACGACTTGGCACAAACTCCCAAGCTGTTGGTTACACCAGGAAGGTCTTTATTTTTGGAAAACATGATCAAGGAACCTTAACCAAACAACCTGCATTGTACACACAGGCAACAGAGGAAAGTGAGTGAGGTTCACCAGTTTCAATTCCATTTTGCCTCTCCGATCTGAAAGTGGGACATTAGGGAAAGTGGGGAAAAATTAATCACTGCCACACACCTGAAAACAAGCAAATATAAACAAATAAATAACAATATTAATTTATTCAACAAAAGCAAGGAGAGAGAGAGAGAGAGATGATAGAGTAGTTTGGGTTGCAATGAACGTCGTGGGACCTTGTGTGGAGGATTTCCCATGCAGGCCTAGAGGGCTAGGACATCTTTCAGATTTGAACATGGAGAGGCGCAGAGAGCTGGGACTGAGGAAGGGTGCAGGAGGGGTATGATCACCCCGTCATTACAAGGTAATTCTGTTATAATTATTCCATTTTCCAGTTCACCATTTCATCACTCGTACAAGCAACACTCTCCTCCTGGAGATGCGCGATAGTCATTTTCCATCAGTTTCCCCCACTCAATAAAAATTCAGGCATGTCTGTCTGTTTACTCCACATTTCACAACGTATCAGAACCTGGCTCGTATGATAGTCCACAGCACTGCTGCATTGAGTCAATCAAGTCCCAGTGTCTGGTGTTCATCCCTACAGACAGCCATGAATGCTGCCAACCTGGATTCCTGGACTCATTTTCCTGGTGACAATCACCCAATTTTAGCACCATACCTTTTCACTACTGAGGATAGAGGCATTTAAAAAAAAAAAAAAACCACATGAGTGATTGGGAGAGTGGGCCCCCACCTTCCCACTATTAAAAGTAAAGACAAGCAGTGGGGTGGCAGGAATGGAGGAAGGAGATGAAAGTCTTTCATGGTGCCATCCAAAATGGCATGGGCTGCTGGGCCTGTGTTTTGGGGCGCGGGGGTGGAGGAGGGGGGCAACGGTACCCCAGCGT